AACTTGTGCTCAATGGTAAATGTCTGCTAAAAGCATTATTTGGATTTGGAAAAGACTACAGAACATATGTAACTGCTTTTGCAGGACACTCTGATCAGGCCCAGAGGTGGGCACTAAAGTATTCCTGGCCAGAAATTCATAGTCAGTATGAACATCCTTGGTGAGGGCATATCTGTGACCTTTCCTCAGCCTCCCACTGGCAGCCAGGCAGCCAGGCCATCCACTACCATTTCTTGTGCCTTTGAGGTTGGCACTAATTGCCATCTCAGGAGGGGTGTTTTCTTGCAAAGTGGCCACTGTTATCAGCAATTCAGCTGGTACCACAGTAATTCAGGGGCATCTCACCTACTGTGGGTTAATGAAGGATGGACCAAAGCAGCATGCTAGCCAGGAAAAGCTAAACTATTTCCAGCACTGAACACCACTTAAACCTCTCAGTTGCTTTTTGAATATATGATACATTTGGAAATAATATATCTGGAAAACCCCCGAGCAAGCAAACTCCAAAGCAATCCAACCATCAAAAGTCTGGATTAAATAGCACAGGTGGCAGAGAAATTGCTCTCTCCTTGTGTGTGGTCCCTGATGCAGATGCCTTGTTTTCACAACACTTATAATGAAAGCATTTTTATTTTTGGATGCTCTTTAGGGTACAATGTAATACATCAAAATAAATCATTGTATCATATGCCTGTTAAGAATGAAAGCTGATGCACCAAATGTCAGGGTTGCTTGCTTTGATTAATCAATGAATATTGAGTTTTGCTAAGAGTGTGAAGGAAAGAAACAATAGTGAAGGAGGAAATGTTTACTTGATACAAAGATATAGATATATAGTTAAAGTTTCAATAAGATTGTGTAGATTAGTGATGATATTGTTTCAAATAAGGCAAAATCTCCACTCAATCTGTGCTTTAGTAGAGAAATTGTGTACCGTTTCTCCTCTGTATTTTCGCTTATTAAATAAATTCGATAATCATCATTGAAAAGGCATTCATTTCAATTGCTATGGAGAAAACTTCTGATCAGATCAAGCTTCAAGGCCACCCTCCTTCCTATGAGACAGGAAGTATCTGTATGATAAATTAACTGTGGGTGAATGCTAAATCTTTAATGAGAAAAACCATGTTCTCTTGGATTCAACCTTTCATGTGAAAGCTGTTTGGGACCTTACTGAAAAGAATGTGTTAATCAAGAGAAAAGCATAATTACTGTCTTGTCAACAGACACAAATGAGAAAGCCTGATGAAAATGAGGTTGAAATGAACTCCAAAAAAAAACCACAAAAAAAGAGGAGTTTTTCTATACTGTTTTTGGAGCTTACTTTACACTGCACAGTGATTTATGACAATTGGAATCTCACTATTTCTGCAACTAATATTACTGGATGCTTCCTATTCAGAGGAATGTTAATCATAATAATGCAAATGGAAGTATTATTGCAGCTATGCCTCAGAGTTCGTATTTTAAATTGAGCCAAAGGTTCAATATTCAGCATCCTTCTCAGTGGAGCATTCTCATTGTATGGATAGAAGAATGTGCACCAGAGGTAAAATAACTGAATTAATATAAACCAGAATAATATACCTGGCATACAGCTTCCCATTTTCCCATTTTACTGTAAGGTCCTGATTTTTCAGACTTTTTAAACCAATAATAAATTATTGTGATGCACTGCTAATTACACCTCACCAAAGTTATGTGTAGTATAAATTGCACTAGTGATGGACTTAGATTAAGTTTCTCATGCTTATTTTTAGCAATTCAAAGGCAATTCATTTCCAACTGGGCCACATTTAAAATTTTAAAGTGAAAAAACTGTGTTATTATTTCCTAATATGAGGATAATATTGGTGACAAACATTTATCCTGCATATCTTTTTGCACTAAATATATTAATGAGAAAGGCAGAAGCAAGAATACATATTAATTTGGTCATGTATTTAAAGATATAATGAGTATTTATAAATTTTCCTCCTGCAAATATTTTCTAAATTGTCTTCTTCATGTTATTACCTCCCTCTGCTCTCCCTTAGATCATTTCTTAGCTTGTGATTAGTTTCTTTATGACTGTTGATGCTTCTGAAAATATTTGGTCTTTTTCCTTAATCATTATTTTTTTCCCTTCTTTTTTTTTTTGTTTGTTTTTAGTTTAATTTGGTTTGGTTTTTTTTGTTTTGAGTTTTGATTGGTGAGGGGGGTGGGAGGGAAGAGGGGATAATGGTAATTTTTAAAGAAATCCTGATGGCTTTTATTAAAAACCACATAAACATGAAGTTTCTGAGACTATTTCAGATCTCATTCAGAAATATAAATTTATACTTCAGAAAATAAATAACCCTTGTTAATATGTCTGTACTACAAATACTTTTCCAAATCCTTCTCTCTGTAGCAGAAATGTACTTTTTATTTCCATCCAAAAGAAATGTAACTACCACATTAAGACTGTTTAGGTGACAGTGGAGGAGTTTGTGCATGTGGTCAGGGTGAGACCCTACTTTTTGGGGAACATTGGGCAGTGGCTGGAGGTTAGATGTCCACCACAAGACATTATTATCCTCTTGATAGGAAAGTGGAGAAGTCCTTAAGTCGGGAACACATTTCAGACTTTGCAGATCTGGGTTCAAATACAATACAAATACCAAGGATCAAGGAAAGCAGTCTAGGTCTTCAAAAATTTCTCAACAAGCTACGTGAGAAGGAGGTGCCCAAATAACTTTCAGGATCAGATCCAAGAGATACCACTATATGTCTTATTCTATATCCTGTGGTCTGGATTAAGCGGGTATGTGTTCTAAGTACCTGATTCTCATTTCTTCTGGAATCATTTGACATTATTTGGGCCTATTCTTTCAAAACGGCATTCAGGTCATGATATATGTGTGTATATATGTATGTATGTATGTATATATGTATGTATATATGTATGTATGTATGTATGTATGTATGTATATACTGACATATAAACATAGGGGTTTGCTTTGGTTTAGTTTGGTGTTTGCGGGTTTTTTTGTTGTTTGTTTAAGAAGAGATGAAATCACTTTAATGGTGCATTTGATGGTTCATCCCAGAGATACACAGGCAGGCATGTCACAGTACCTTCCAGAAGACAAGTGTAAATGCAAGAGCAACTGTAAACTCTCAATTTCTAACCATGAATGTTAAAGGAGTAGAGCAGATCTTATTCTCTTATTCTCTCTTGCTGGAACTTACTCTTCAAGGTGGGAATGATATCACTTCCCTATCTTGTCAAGCAGTTTAAAAATACACATATTGAAAATCAGGAGAAGTATAGATATTATGGTGAAGGGGGACTCAAAGTGTACCTGGCTTCTGAGAGAGGAGAATGAATAATTTGTCCTCACCTCCTCCTCCACATTTTCAGATCCCCTAGAAATGCATTCTGGTAAGCGATGGCCTCTTCTGCTTTTGTTTTCCCTCTCATTGAAGTGAACATCAGCAAGAGAGAAGACTCACAAATTAATTCAGATTGGCTTAGATAAGGACCCTGTGATGTTGATTAGAAACCATCCACAGGGCCATTAGCAAATTGAGATAATAAATGAAAATGTGTTGAATTGCGTGAGTTTTCTAGTGGGGGAACATCAGGGAGCAGTCTTGAGTCCAGTCTTCTTTAAATATCTTCATTCATTAGCAAAAGACAGGAAAAGAGTACATGTTAATTAAAATCACAAATGATCCAAATTGGGAAGCGCTGCATAAATCAGTGAAGATAGAGAGATTAGAAACCTTAGGCAGGAAATGACAAAATGAGATGCAGTTTGAAAAATGCATGTGGAGGAGAAATAATCTGTAAGAGAACACAATCAGCAGCAAGGAGGGTTCTTCAAGAAGCAGAATAATGGGAGGAAGCCAAAGGATGTGGACCATGGAGTAAAGGGCAATGAAGCAGAGCACCTATTTAAAGCTGACCTTTGCACCTTTTCAATGGACAGCTTGGATTCAAAATTAATTTACAATTGGCAAGAATGAGGGGGCAATGTAGTTTTGGACCATATATGCAGAAACAGGGTGCCAAGGAAGGACGTGAAAGCCCACCTCTATAACAGTAACCACATCTTTCAGGCTTCTAATTTTATTTTTTTTCCTGTTCTGCGAGACCTTGTGCAACAGAGTGAATGTAAAATAGAAGCATATCAAATGAAATGGGTGCCCTGGTAAAGCTGCTGGCTCTGGCAAATGTGGCTTTCAATGAAACTACACACACTCTCTTGCTGCAGTCTCTTCTCCACCTTTCCAATCCCTATGGGACTTTGTGTACCTGAGACAAGGAAAGGAGCTAAGAGAAAGGGGTTGAGAATAACCAGCTAATGAGAGTCATAAGAGAAGAGGAGCCCCAATGCTGTTCTACACTTTCTTTGAAACTGCTGCTTGTGGTGTGACAGGTTAGTCACACATGCATCATTACTTTTAAACTGTGGCTCTTCAATGCCACAAGCAACTCAGATATGACATAATTTACTGATGTGAGTTGAAACATCAAGAAGCTTTTGTGTAAGATCTTGGTCATTTCACTCTAACAAAGGGGGAAGATTTAAGAAAGGAGATATTTGGGATAACCACATAAATAAAACAAAAATTCATTCATCTTCTGAGGCCTGCAAAATCACAGAACGGGAAAGGAACAATTGCCATGTTAACTTGAAACCCTTAAACTGCAGTAGGGAAATTAGTAAATTTCCCTTTGGCAAAGGGATGGATGTTTGCACAGTTGGTCAAGGACAGCTCTTTAATTCTGAGCGCTGTACAGAAGACCTTAGTTTATATTTGGCAGATGCATTTATTTCCATGAGATAACTAAGCATACCCTAGTATTGCTGATATGATATTACAGCAGGAACCTCATGTATATAGATTACTATTTTATTTGCCCTGTCTAACTGTGTAGCTGTTGGTTTTAATTAATTTTTATATGGGAAATAAGTTAAAAATCACTGAACAAAGCACTGATTTTTTTTTATGTCTATGTATTTTTACAGGTAGACTGAGAATAACACATCTCGGTTAAAACAATATCCTACAAGAAGCATTTGATGGATTGTTCCTAGATATTTCTAAGAGGGCACATACAAAAAGTGAGTACTAATTCCAGTACCTGGGATGCTTTAATTATGTTTTGTTGTTTAAAATCAAATTATGATAGTTGTAATGTTTCTTGAGCACATTTCTCTAAGTGGAGTCATGAGGAATTTCTCTAATTTCTCTAGAACATGTCTATTACTGACCTATGTCTATTTTTATTATCTGACAATGATAATTTGCATCACAGTCCCAGTCAAGGATTCAATTTTGCTGTGCCAGGCACTCTAAAAACACAAATGTTCTCTGCTTGAAATGACTTACATCTTAGTAGAAATCAAGAAAGTATGGATAGTGACAGAAAGATGGAGACCCATGAATGTAATAAGTGCTGCTCAGTACGACAGGAGATGTTAATAGCACATCTGTAGTCTAACCCTTATCAGAGCTTTTTAGAAAGGAAGGAACTAGAAGGTTATTTTATAGATTTTAGAGAGTGCAGCATGGAAGAAAATACAAAACCATTCATTTGAAAATCCAGCACATGGACTATGCATGGGTTGATTGGATACAAACAGCCTAGTTTTGATAGAAATGGGGAAGGGAAATCAATGCTATATCTGGAAAAATGGCCTTTGTATCCAGGGAATATCATCAGGGCAAATTTACATCTGTGATGTAAGTGAGAGACAGGGATTCTGCAGTAATTAAGATGTTCAATGATAAGGTCTGAGAAAGGACATTTACCTAGATGGGGAGAGAGAGAGGAAAGGCATTATTGTAAGTAGGATACACAGAACATACTTAGAATATGTATGTAGCTTCAATATAACTGGAAAGTGGCATCTGAGAGAGGAGTATGAGTTGAAGATGATACCAAGGGTACACACGTGACAGGATGGTGGCATTGTCCACAGTGATCAAGAAGGAAGGTTGCTTGGAGATCATTGCTGGGACTCCTAAAATGGAAGGAAAACAACTCTTGGACTGTTCTAGGACTGTTCAGCACACAGAAAATGACTAGGAAACAGCAGAGAAGCAGAACCACGAATTAAAGAATCACTGAATATTTGAGGTTGGCAGGAACCACTGGAGATTGTCTAGTCACCTTTCTAATCAAAGCAGGCTTTCCTAGAGAAGATTGTTGAGGGATGATCTTTAAGGGCCTTTTTTCCTGGACCTCAGCTTGGAAAGTCTTGACAGGAGTGATGAATAGAGAGAAAGAAATTCCTATTAATGTTAAAACTACTGGTATGGTAGGGGGAGTTCTAAAACTCAAAGCCATGAATATAAAGTAATATTTAAATTAATTGATGAAGAATTATGTGTACTTGCAAGGTAGATGGAAGTGATTAGTGAACACCAATACTTTAATCACCAGCACTACACAGGTATTGGCATAAATAAGAAGAGGCAGTTCCCAAAGCATGATAACTCTGCCTGCAAGTTATATCCTATAAACCACTTGCTCCTATAAGGACTTAAATTGCTTTTTTACATAATCATAGAATCATAGAAAGAGTTGGGTTGGAAGGGACCATAAAGATCATCTAGTTTCGACCCCACTGCTGTGGGCATGAAAGTAATAGGGATGGTGTAAGCTGAAATGTTGTGTCTGTAGCAAGGGTTCAAGAAGTTGAGCCCTGAGAAAGATCTCACTTGAAGATAAAGACTGCTTATCAAAGAAAAAGAAAAAGGAAAAGGAGAGGTGAAAAATTGTCAGAAAAAGAAGTGTTTTCAAAGTCAAGGTTACATGGTAAGTGGTAAGAGTATTATGAGGTGATAGCCTAAAGGAAACCGAATGGAGTGAGGAATAGGAGAGGAAATCTGAAATAAAACTTCCCAAATTGCTGGGAGTTGCTGCACATGACAGCCTCTCCTTATTAATAGATGGGAATTTCATGGGACATATCTAGATGGCTTTTTACTGAAGGTGAATTCTTGCTTGTCAACATAACATGAAGAACTTTTTTCATTAAAAAATGCTATTCAGTTTTTCACAACTTTGATGCGTTTGATAACCTTTTTGCTGCCAGCAGATCTGAGTAGTGACAAAAGTTCAAGGAGTCAATAATAGACCCCAAATCAATTATTTTTTGTGGAACCACAGATCTGTTCCACAGTTACGTCCAACTGGACAGTGGAGTCAGTCATGCCAGGTGTGAGGCAACCACATTTCAACCTCAAGGGACAGTCCACAGCTGCTTCCCAGGTATGCCATGTTGGCTGGTCCAGTGCTATCTGCTGAGTATTAGAACTATAAAATGTTTGGGGTTAGAAAGGACCTTAAAGATCCTCTAGTTCCAACCCAACTGACATGGGCAGGGACACCTTCTACTAGACCAGGTGGCTCAGGGCTTCATCCAGCTTGGCCTGGAACACTTCCATGGATGGAGGAGCCACATCTCTGGGCAACTTGTACCAGTGTCCCACCACCCTTGAAGGAAAGAAGTTCTTCCTAATATCCAATTTAAATCTGACCTCTGTCAATTTAAAGGCATTCCCCCATTTCCGTTTGTTCCATCACCTTGTCAAAAGTCCATCTCCAGTCCTCTTGTAGCCCCTTTAGGTACTGGAAGGGGCTATAAGGTCTCTCTGGAGCCTTTTCTTCTCCAGGTTAAGTAACCCCAACTTTCTCAGCTAGTCTTCAAAAGAGAGATGCTACAGCCTTTTGATCAACTTCGTGGCCCTTTTCAATGCACACAGAAGATGAATATGACAGTACAAATAAGGGAAGGCTGTTATTTATTGTGTCATTAAAAGGAGTAACATGCCTCAGGGTATGTAGAGTATTTCTTAGGGTGCTTTTCAGACAACATCTTTGATTTGGAACAGCCAACATGGATCAGGAAACAAGATGATTTTAGGAGTTGCTGTCCGCTTGCAGCTCTCAATGGAAACTGTGGCTCATTGCTGACCAGACTACTCTTACTCAGGTGATGAAAGGGAGCATTAGCTAACTGGAATTTGGTTGTCCAACTTGAAAATGCTGACTGTTGTTCCTGGCTGTCATGCAATTCTGCTGTGCACTTTTTTCTTTTCTATTTTCCTTTTAAACACCATAAGGCAACTCTTCTATATTGGGGACTTGTGCAAGCACTTTATATGAATAAGGTTTTGGTAATAAGATTTGTTAAAAAGTTCCCCTTTCCCAGCTAATTAGAAAGTGCTAGATAATGTGTATGTCTTTTCAAATTTTCTTTAGTCCCCTGTCTTCTTAGTCTTGATCAACCTGTCACAGGAACTATGTGGTATATCTTCTTGTTTACACTACAAATCCAAGATAAGCATCTTTATCAACTGTATATTTATACAGTATCTAACAGGTCAGGCTCATGATACACTTAAAGCCTCCAGGTACTATAACTATAGAGATGTTATATAATACTATGGAGCTGCTCGTTCTTCCCACGGGCATCTTGTTTCAACCCACAATACGGAGAGACAGCCTTTTAAAGGTTCTGTTTATTCAATGTCATGCAGTGTTAATTAAGCATTAATTGATAATTATTTCTTATTTTCTGAGGTGCCAGATCATAATTTTTCTTGAACAACCCTTGAAGTTTGGCTCAAGATGCTGGAGGAAGAATGGAATAGACTTGTTTTGGAGACTAGTAGATGCATTATTTATTTATTTATGTATTCGTTTGCGTATTTATTTTTGCTGTCAAGTGCATCAGTTTCCATAATCCTTTCCCCTCCCATTATTTGACAGATGAGGAACTAGAAAACAATAGGAAGGTTGTAATTAGCAACTTGGCTGTGGAATGTGCAGTGGAACAGGGGGTGGGTGTGGAAATCAGTATGAACTCAGAAGTTTATTACGAGGACTGTTTGTACATTGTCTGTCAGTCGTTTTGTCCCTGTTTAGAATTGGGGATTAATTGCAATGTATTTCTTGGACACATCAGATTTTCTTTTTCTTTTGCTTTGCTGAAGAAATCTATTTTCAGCCCAGGTTTTGTTCCTCCTGTTGTGACATGCAGGAAGTGTGATCTCACACCCTCCAAAGAATTGATACACAACAGCAATGTAATAACAAAGATCCCATCATTACACTGTTTGGAAAAAAGAGGTAACTTCATAGCAGTGGAACTGTCCTTAGCTGCAGATGTGATGTATCTCAGAAAAATCTTCCCCCAGGGATACTTATTGCTCATCTCCGTGTAGGTTTAACAAATACACCAAAATACCATAGCATCTTCCTGCTGAAAACTACTTGCTATTTGGAGAGCGTTATTGACATAGGCTTAACCCACAGCCTGCACAGTGAAATACCATTTGCCCACACCACCCACTCCCAGGAACAGGCTGATCCATCCAGGTGCATTGTCCTCAAGCAGGTTTGAACCCCACTGTACCATGGCCAAAGCTCCTCAACGCTCCTTCCTTTGAAGCTCTGACTGAGCAGCACAGCCTGCGGTGCCATGTGCCACCCCCGGGAACTTTGTGCAAGCCCTGGTTAGTCACCCACAGCCATGGTACAGAAAGCTGACTTCACTATGGGCTCCAGTGGGAACCATGCATCCAGGGATTTTCATCCCAGTTTGTTTTTCATAAAATCAAAGAATCACAGAATGATTTGGGTTGGAAAGGACCTTAAAGATAGTCGAGTTCCAACCCCACTGCCATGGGCAGGGACACTTTCCACTAGACCAAGTGGCTCAAAGCCCCATCTAACCTGGCCTTCAACACTTCCAGAGATGGAGGAGCTACACATTCTCTGGGCAACCTGCACCAGTGCCTCACCACCTCATAGTGAACAATTTCTTCCTAATACCTAATCTAAACCTGCCCTCTGTCAGTTTGAAGACATTCCCCCTTGTCCTGACCCTCCGTGCCCTTGTCAAAAGTCCCTCTCCAATAACGCCTTTAGGTACTGGAAGATGCTTTTACTCCTTCGTGTTGGCTGAAGTAAACTCATTTTTTTCATGGTAAAGCTTTCAAATGCTCTGGATATCCAAAGTTAGACTTGTTTTAGTTTACAGGTTCTAATTAGACATTGACTTATAGGGTGGGGTGACAGTGGAAAAAGGGAGCAAAGTTTGCATTGGGG